GATAGTCCAAGTTACCCTGCAAGCACATATCTAATAGAGATATTTAATCAAGATTGACTTACACGGATATTTTTGTATAGAGATATTATCGCTCTTACGAATCCTTTGCAATGTTAAAGCTTCGGTACACGTAAGTTAAATGTTCAAAAGAATTTAATCTCGCCGAGTGTGTATATATAGCGCATGTACGATATTCCATTCTCCTATATTTATTACGAAAAGAAGAAAAATCTAGTTCATACATACGCTGCTCTTACATAACATTCTCTAACATCATTTTCGCGCAGCGAAGGAGTTAATCTTGCGAATTATCGCGTTAAATCGCAGAAACAATGCTACTTTTTTTTTTCTTTTATATCTTATATACACAAATATTTGTTAGCCACTCACGTATTGACACGCGTAATTAATCTGATTTTGCAATGCGTCATTATCGCACTTACGTACATGAAGCTGCCATCGATCGCGCTCGCGAAGTAGAATTTATCTTGGTACTTTCCTCGCAAATATTTGTTAAAGGGGATGTAACCTGTAACATTCGCTCTTACACTAAAAAGGCGGTAATATTCGCGAGATTGTGGTTTACAACATACTTTATCACGCAATATGATTGCATATTGCGATATGTTGCATTTTATGTATATCTGCGTTAAATAATGCAGCTTTTATTTTACTAATAATTAATGATAGCATTATTTCGTCGCGAATACGAACATAATTCATGGGATAAATGTGAATTACGGTAAAATAAAGCTTTAGCGTGTAATAATAATTATATAATAGTATAATGTTATTTCTTCAAATTGCAAAATTTTTCGAATCTCTCTCTCTCTCTCTCTCTCTCTCTCTCTCTCTCTCTTTCACAGTATAGGTATACTTATTAACTTTATTATATATTATTCTTAATGCTCTCCATTTACTAGCGCGAACCTGTTCTGCATCAGGTTGTTTGTACGGGCCATAAAACACAAGTGCATACCTAAACTTAGGTGCCTACCCCACCTTCATTGGAATATACAAGGTGTCTAATAAATATTGACGCAACATTCGTGTGGATAGAGCGGACTAAACTGAGTTGAAAAGTCTTACACTATTTTGCAATTTTCATTTGCATTTGGCGGATACGTGCTTATTCGACGATTTTTAACGTAATTAATATCTCGTTAATCATTGCGAAAATTACAGAATGGTATAGAATTTCTCAACTCTCAGGTTATTCCGCTCTACCTGCGCTCTGCGCAACAAGCGTTGTGTCAATAATTATCAGACACTCTGTATACGATGTATAATATATAGCGTGAATATGTATAATAGCGTAATAATGCCCGCACGTCTGTGTGCGTAGGTGGGTGAAAATAGACCCAAGGGCATGGTTCTCGCGTGTCGGCCGCATGGATATCAAACACATCGATAAACGCTGTCGTATAGCATTTCGAGGCTTCGCCATCCTTAGTGCATGCATGCCTTCCTCAACGTACGCGCGATTTATCTTTATATAGGTAACACTACCCTCGCTGTCCTCCACAAATGAGTCGCTAACGTGAAAATGCAATTCGCGCACGAGAGGAGATAAAGGTGGATGAACAACAAAGAAGGGTATTTTCTCGTTGCCTGGAGAAAAAAAGACGCAGGTAGCGGGGCCTCATTGTAGCACGCGTTTTAATTGCTCGCTGTACTCGGAACTAATTACAACGCGTAGTAGAATACAATTGTTACAATGGAGGACAAAGAGTCCGACTGTATAGAGTTTCAAATTGAAAATTATGTTTTTGCCACAGTATGGCATCTTTGCAGTGGAGAAGACGTAGTGGCAATTAGTATGTAAATATCGTCCGTGATGTGCCAAAAGTACGATGCATTTATACAAAAATTCGACATATTCTTCCTTCTTTCTTTCTCGATTATCGAAGTTTATTAAAATACCTTTTATATGGTATGGCACAAATTTGTACTTATTGCTTTGCCACATATCGTTCTATATAATACGATCGCGATAGAAAAAAAAATCGATTAAAAATAATAAACCCGCTGACATCCTGGGAGAAAAGTCTTCCTAACTAAGAGGATAGAAAGCGCGCAAGTCACATTCCAAAGGAACTCGTTGGTATTTTTTCAGTATCGAGCCCGAGCTTCCCTTTGGAGATCTCTCCGGGCGGTGAGGGTAAACGTCGCCTACCTGCAGGGGTCCCAGGTGAGGCCTCCGGGACAGTCCTCGTCGGTAAGAACGTCGCACTCCAGCGGTGAGCACACACACGAAAGAGCTCTCGCCACCGCGAGCGACAGTACAACAATGCCGCCTAAGAGGAGCAACGGGGCCCTCATTTTGTTCACGTCCCTCTCGACGGCCTCCCCGTCGACGATTATCCTGGTGTCCTCTCTATTCTCCTATCTTGTATCTCTTCGACACCAATTACGAAACGAGCACGAGGATGTCCATTGTGCTCAGTTCATCCCGAAACGTTTCACGCCACAACGCGTTCGATCGTCGATTTGTCACACACGCACGATAACGAGCCTTCTTTCTTTCTCTCTCTCTCTCTCTCTCTCACACTCTCTCTCTCTATGTATATATGATAAAATTGTTCATTAAGAGAGAAGAGTAGTTACAAGATGTTAATGCTTGTGTTACTGAATAATGTCCGGAGAACGTAAAGAAAAATGTGCCTCTACATTTTACTGCTCACAGTTTGCTGAAATATCGTGTTCACTAATTTTATCGAACAAAATGACGTCCACACAGATAAAGGATAATTTGATATTGCGATAATATCGAAAATATATTATATATTTCGCCAGAAATATCCGTTAATAATAAGGATTCAGGATTCTAGGAAGATTAATTATAAACGAAAGAGAAATAATAAAACAAAAAATAATAAAAGAAGAAACACGCACGGGAATTTTGTAATAAATTGCTTAATAATGTCATTGCACGAAGGAACAGAATAGTGTCGTTAGACGAAGAAAATTTATTTGGAATTATTGTCTCTCGAAAGTAAGCATATATTTTGTAATACGTTATTTGAAAATCGATTCGGAGGGAAAATCAAATATTTGAACACACACACACACACACACGCATACACACGTTTTGATGAAATAACTAAAGCCATAGATTATAAAACCTGGATAAGATTTCTAAACGTTAAAATCGGATATTTCCCAGATATCTTTCTCTTCTTACAGTTTAGCAAGAACTTTGCCAAATCTTATAATGAATACGCCATTTATTATGGAAACAAATACATACGTATTAATAAAGAATCATTTTCAATTAGATATACGAATAGCATTTAATATATTTAATAAAAAATACATCACACTTTCGGGGAAAATTTGACATGTATTTTTCGCTGCATGCATGGCGCAACTTTAATACAAGTGATAAGATTACTCTTATTACTTCAGAAGAAACAACCGGATTACTTTTGACGATGAAAATCGCGGCAACTACTCGATCTATATCAATTGCTGAACAGAGAATAGTTCACTCGAGGACTGCATACTGTAGTAGTGGACTGTGTGTATCAATCCTGAGCAGAGAATAGTTTATCCGGATTGCACACCGTGGAAGCGCACTATGAAGTGAGACCCATCAAAAGGTTGTCGAGCACCGACAACCAAACTTGCGGCGTACCAAATTACACGGGCACATGCATCCTAGCTCGGAGGTGCACCGGACATCCGCATTGCCATGTACAACCGCAATGTGGGCATCGCCATGACAAAAGCGTGAAAATATTGATACACTCGGTCTAAATTGCGAAAGGAAAACGTAAGCTTCTCGCATACGTCGAGAACGTAAGAGAAAAGAATCGCGACGTAAAATTAATACGATTGAAATTCGGAATTATTTGCCGAATGAGTGTAATGCGTCTCGCAAAGGGACTAGGAAATTTTTTTAATTAATGATTCAAGAAAGTGGATTAGCAACAAGTGCGCGAGGGATACAATGGAGAATTCACAATGCTACGCCCAAAGAAATTTGTCGTCCCATTAAACATCTCTTCGAACACTTTCGAGAACTGAATCGTCAGAGCGATATCCTTTCGTTCGTCACGAATGACGCAAGCTCGTTTGCTGACACGATCTGCTGAAACACGAGCTACGTACGAGTTACTGCACTTATAAAGAAACATTGTATCACCTGTTACAGAACTGCGCTACAGATCGAACGCTTGTATACTCGGCATACTGTCGTTTGCCTGACGAATTTGCGCTCAATAAGACAGGCGCTGAACGTGATTAAAGATAGCACACGATCGGGACAATCGGGGCGCGTCGAAACGTGAAAATTTACGTGAGCGATGTCAAGGGAAGGGAGAAAGGATAAAAATTATCACCGGCATCGAGGTGCAAAAAAGGGTTATTCGACCGATCTGCGGAAACTTTTGCTTCGACCGCTCGCATAATAATAATAATAATAATAACAATCGCGACGCGGTCTTCTGCCTCGCTTCTCCCCTCGTCACGCACGTCGTGCCGACATCGTGCATACGGTGTGTCGCCCGATAAAAGAGAAGAGAGCTTTCACTCGGCAGGGAAAGCTACGAATGGGAATACGAAGCGCTCCGCATTCAAGACGAACGTGCACTGGTCGCAGCGACGAAGAGCGTCTCCGAAGTGGCGCCCGGCGCCGCGACGCACGATCCGCGTCGGCGCCCTGACACGCGACCACTGCCGCCTCTTACCCGCAGGTGAACTCTCCCCGTTCGCCAATTCGCGTGTATCCAGTTTATGATTTTTAATTGGCGGCGTTGTAAAGAGTTAATTAACGCAACGCTGCGCGGGGATTTATCCACCGTTACACCCTACACCGATATCGTCTCTATATTAATTCGGAACGGTGCAACAATAGCGCCATAACTAATAACAATCGTGAAATCAACACAACTGTTTTATATAAATATTAATCTTTTTTTTTTTTTTTTAACGCTGCGCGCAGCTTGTACTTCCATTGTCAAGAATCACATGCGATAACAATTCAAATAACGCAACATCAAAATTGTAACTGCAAACTGTTACTATGTTTTTTTATATTCCAATCCGTTATAATAATTTGCTCAGCATGCACGGATTACAAATTGAAATCTGTATATACGATATCAAACATAAAAAAAACTGAAAATGAAAATATTTCTATTAAAACATACATATTCATATTGTTACAGCGAAACTCGAGAGTAGAGAGGGTATAATAATAATAATAAGAGGAATAATATGTAACAATAAAACTGATATCATATATTGTTAGCAGCTATTACGTGCAGCATTATAAATCAGCGATTGTTGCTGGGAAGAAGCAAAATATGACGTTCATTCTCGCTTGCAGCGTTTTCGCGGCTTACGCGTCGTCTAGTATATATCCCGCGACATTTCGCGGACGAGACCGGCCGTCAACGTTCTTCTAACCGAGTCGCGGATCCTAAGTGTGATAAATGTCGACGACCCAGCTCCAGTGGCAGTAACGTTCGCCCTCTTCACCTGGCGCTCTCGCGAGCGATTTTTCTTTGGCATGTGTTATGCACCGTAACTCGCTCCTTAATGCCCGCTGGATGAAGCAGCTATTGATCATCGAAACCTTTCTTCTTCAAAATAACTGTGCGGAGATAGATAACGTACCGAATATATAT